AAGGATGTATCGGTGAGTATAATTTAATTTGATTAGATCAGGGACTTCACTTTTTCAATAATCGATTTACACTTTACTCATATGTTCTTTTGCTATTTAATGAAAATGTATGAATATACATTTCTATATATTACATAACCTGTTATAACCTGTTAGTATCAATAAATATAATTGAGAATGTTGAAATCTAACTTACTCAAATCAGAAATAAAATAATAAAATATTAAAATAATAAAATATTAAAAATAAAAACTATAACGGAAATTCAAGAAATTTCTTGAAATTTCTTAACTTATTGTCAAGAAATCTTGATCTTGATGACAATTTCTTGTTTTGTCTTGAAATCAGTTTCCAATTTCTTGTTTTTCTTGTCTTAATTCAAGACAAAACCAAGACAAGATTTCTTGAATTTCTTGATCTTGAAACACTACGAATCCGCCTGTGCCATTGGCTACATTCAATAGAAAAAGCAGCTCTGCACAACTGTTGTAAGATTTTTTAATATAATTAGTTTAATTCAATGAATTAAGAACAAGAACCAATTATATTAAAGGATTTTATAACAATTGTAAAGCTACTTTTTTGTGGAAACAAGTACATATATTTCGAATATTTCGAGAAACCTGTTATCGCTTGAGTTTTAATATCATCTGGATTATGAGATAAAATTATTGACAACATACGAGATAATCTCTGTCATAATCTCATGATTTATATCTGTAATTCTATTCTTAAAACTTTTACAGTGAATCTCACTCTAAAGAGTGAAATTTTATTTTTAGTCCGATTCCATCAATAAACGAGATTTAACTTATTGTTTATCTTTTTCTAATTCTTAAAAATTAAAATTAATTTTATACTGAAACTTACGGTGAAACCAGTCTTTAAAGAATAAAAATTGAATCACTCTTTTTCAAGACTGGTTTAATTTTCATATTTAGAGATTTTTTTAAGGTTCCATTCCAAAAAATTTAGAGAATACTAATATATTTAATGAAAAATATTAGCTCATAATATTAGAAAGAAAATTAATTAAACTTGAAAATTAATTAACTATCTCTTTTAGAAAAAAGATAACTTTCATTATCTTTTTATACACTATTAAGAAATTATGCACTGTGAAACTTAATTTTTGCAAAAAAAAAGATACAAAAAAAAAGATAATCGTGAGAAAATATGAAGAATTCATATTTGCACATTCGCTGCAGTTATCAGATTGGTTGAAATCAAACTGATTTGAATTCCTAATTTTTGCTGTTATTTATAATCGAAGAGAAACGCATTAGGTTTGAAATACTCTGGATAACAATTGCGTTAGGTTGAAATTTGAGGCGAATAGTGCGAATAACATATGTTACGTAGGTAGTTTAGCGAGTACAGCGCATGATTATATTTTTACTATATTTTCCTGCTGAGCTATTATTCTCATTGCGTAACGTGGATCGGCAAGAACAGCGTTTTTCCAACGCATTCGCATGACGCCGGACACTGTCGCGGATTTTGCGATAGCTCAGAACACGTGCGATGAAATATTATGGACTGATGAAAACGACATAAGTAGAAGAACGGGAATTTGTACTTTCTAAATTTTTTAGAGTGAAATCTCATTCTAACTAAAGAGTAAAAATTAAATCAATCTTAAAAAGGAGTGGCTCAATTATTTTCAATCTTCAGAATAAGATTTCACTTTTCAGAGCGATAATTCATTTTAAAAGTTTTAGAGAGTAATACGTTGTAAAACCATTTTCTGTTTGATGCGATAAACGTTGGAGTTGATTGTTTGAAATATCAGAATCCTCTCCGTAATTTAAACCTCAGATTTTGATCTATGATCGCGATATTGTTATCTCGTGCGATTAAATGAAACTTAAAACTGTGGCATGTGAATATTCAATGAAATATTCAATGAACTCTCAGACATTTTTCTGTCAAAGAAGGCGAAGAAAAACATTCATAAAAAAAACATATATGTAAAATGACCGTTATAGTTTCTCACTGAAAGAGAATTCAGGTGAATAATGAGTATCGTATGAAAAAAGATGAAGAAGACTATAATTTGAAGACAGTGAGTGACAATGAATCGAAAATGAGCAACTGATGAGGAAGGCTTGGTTTTAAAAAGGTCTTACATAGAAGTTTCTTTGCGAGAAAAACATCGGTTTCCCGAGTAGACAACACGTCGCGCCCGAGAGATGCGTACTTAATTAATACGCACGTTGTTCCGTGCGTGACCGCCACGCACGTGAGTGATTTCGCGTATAGAAGAACGAAGTTCGCGATAAGCATATAATCAGGGCTCAGTCTTATTTCAAATAAATTTATTTAAAATATACATTTTAAATAAAAAAAAATTAAACAGTTATTTAGTATTTATTAATTAAAATTCGCTCGTTTTTTTGTAATGCAAAGTGTAAAGAAATGACGGTCTGAATCGAGCGGTAATAAAGTTTATATAAAATAATTTAATACAATGTTAGTATGACAAACAGTGAATAGCAGAAAAATTTAATGAATAAATCGTACGTTTCGGAATTCAGGTTCTTTTTCAGCGATTCATAAAATATGTTGCATGGTAATATAAATGAATAATGTTACGGTCAGCGAGACATAATGTGGTACTGTTTCGAAGAATTGATCCTCCTGTTTTTATGTAAATTGTATAATATACGAAAACAGGAGCATCTTATAAATTCGTCTGATACTGTTGAGCGCAAGTGTTACAAACAATTAGTATTTATTATTTAAAATAACTTCTTTTGTCCTATTTTTTATTTAATATTTTAATTTTATTTAAGTTTTTGGAATTTATTTTATATTTTTTATTTTAAATACGTTATATCAGTTTTTTATCGATTGTGAATTTTAAATAATTTTTTGGAACCTATTTTATATTTTTTATTTTAAATAAATTGTATCAGTTATGTTATCAATTCATCAGTAAAAGTGACAGTGAGTAATTAAATTATAGTATATTTATTTATTAGGTATGGAAAAAAGTTCGTAGCGTTTTTCCCGTTAGATGTAACGGGAAAAACGCCACGAACTTTTTCTCACACCTAATATTTATGATGAAATATTGTACGTGTGAAAATATTGTACGTGAGATATATTCACATATGATTCATGTTGATTTTCCACCTGATTCTGGAAGGATTAATACTATTAAATATCAATTATAGGCTGTAGCTATAAAAAAAATTGAAACGTATTTAGAAATGTATTTGTATATTCAAATAAACAAAATTATCAAAATATTTG